CAAGCGCACATGCAGCAAGCAGGCCCCGCCCCGCCCATGCTCCTCCTCCGCTTGGCGCTGCCCGCCGCCGCCTTGATGGCAGCAGTCAGAGTCGGAGAGTGTGCAGATGACCGATGCCGCGGTCGATGCGATTGATTCTTCTTGCATCGCACTCGTGACTCCCCCTCCCCTCCCCTCCACCTCTGCCGAGTCATCTTTGACACGACAACGGACCACCACAGAAAAGAGGCCCGAGCCATCGACTAGGCACCCATTTACTGTGTCGTGCTCACGTCGAACGTCGGCAACGCAGACAGGATCGCTTGCCGACGCTGCTAGCGACGCGCGAGGCTGTGCCCGTGCGCTCTGTCGGCCGCAGCATTATCAGGACGCATATACCGGTACGATGTTCAAGCCGAGGGGCAGAGCAGCTCCACCTATGTAGAGGTATTTCGCCGTCACTTTTTCCAACCACGCGTCGATCATCTTCCAGTCCTTTCGTCACCGTCGAACGCCTTTTCTTGCACAACGCTGCCATGAGCTTGGCCAAGGCTCTTCTACACTCTCGAGTCGACGAGCATGAACGGTTTGATTCCTTTGGACGACTTCGAGGCGGCGCTTGCCCAACTCCACTCGGAGAAAATCAGCAGCAGCAGCCAGCGCTCAAACACTGCCGATGACTCGACTTTTACTGCCACCGATCAGCGGAGCGTAGATCAGTGCGCTATAGAGCGAGCCGGCAAGTCGGTCAATAGCTGGAGCATCACCGGAGACAGATCGTTCAAGCGCTCAGCTGCGAAAGAGCGACCCACTCGCCCAGGCTCGCCAATCGCCGGGCCGGCCAAGCTCCCGCCCGAGCTCATCTTTCACATCGCTCTGCTCTTGTCCAGCGAGTGCGCCCCGTCAACGCCATCATGGCGCCTGGCTGTTTGGCCAGCAGCCGCATGGACGGACAGCGATGGCACAACTGTCGTGTCAGCAGGTCAGGCTGGTGAATCGATAGCTCCAAGCGCTCGGAGAGTGCTCAGGACGCTCATAGGCTTGTCAGCGCTCTCCACGGGCTTGCGCAGACTCATCTCGCCCCTCGTTTGGCAAAGGATCGACATCAGCTACCCATCGCGATTATCATCTCTCCACGCGCTCTTGAGCTACTACTTGCATGCCCAATCCTCCAAGAGTCACGATCGACTCGTCTCGCCCTTGACGCATGTGCGACGAATGCATCTCTCACTCCCCAGTAGGTACTCGAGCGTGGATCAAGACAGTCTGGTCTCACTCTTGAACGGAGGAGTCCGCTCGGATCTGCTTCAAGAATTCATCTTCGAAGCTGGAGAGCCTCCAAGCGGCAGCCTTCTGCGCGCGCTGCTGCCCACCTCCCAAAGGGCGCAAGCTGACAAGCGGGTCAAGGCGCAGAAGATCGCCGCCGAGAGGTTACGCAGCACCTCTGTGGGAAACAAATCCGGTATCACGATGACTTTTGGCCCGACTGGTCTGAGGCAGATCAGAGTTAGGAGCGAGATGAGCGACGAGGTTAGACAGTGGGAAAGAGAAGCTCGACCGGGCGCATATCCCGCCCTCGCGGTCACTTCGGTCGAGCCCGAATCCACATCGGCGGTTGAAAATGGAGAGGCGAGCTCCGATGGCTCGGTGAAGACGGGTGGATTGGAAGAGGAGGAGGACTCGTCGCCGACTCACGGCTTGACAGCGCTCAGCATGTCGTGCTCCATCTTTTGGCCTGGTCACGCTTTGATGTCTTCATTCAGGAACATACAACATCTGCGTCTCACATCGTACGAAGCGCACCTCTTGCCTCAGCATCTTCCCGCCATGCTCTTGGCATTGACCAAGCCTCTCAAGAGCCTCAGCATGAGCACGAGCAAGACTGCAGTTCTGCACGTCAGGGAGCTGATAGACTTGGGCGTATGGCGAGGATTAGAATCGCTGGACGTCTACGCTGTGACGCCCGAACCGCCCTTGGCCGAAGCTCTGAGGAGCGCTAGAAAGACGCTCAAGCATCTGCGGCTAACGCTCGACATCAATGGAGCATTCGGCAACTACGATCGATTGTGGAGAGACTTGACGAAACGTCAGGAGGCCATTCATGGTACAGAGGATGGCAAGCATGCGCGTGCGCGTGCGCACGAGCACAAGCACCAGCACGATCATCCACACGAAGACGACGAAGGTTTGCCAGCACTGCAAGTACTGCAAGTCGATCCTTTTCCTCAACAACACACCTCGCCTTCCTTTCCCGACTTTGTCCGCGCTTGCCCCTCCTTGCGCCTCATCAACGGAAGGGATGCTAATCGTCTCAGGCTGAATGGCTTTGAGCTGCTGGACCCGGATCATTACACTGGCGCTTTGGCCTACTAACCAGTCCCTCATGGATCTCAACAGCAAGTTGCAGCCCACAAACGTACTCTCTACACTATCCAGATTCTTCGCACACTCTATCTGCCGCACTCGTGACTTGATCTCACACCGCTATCTCTCCCATGTCTTTTCTGTCAAGCTAGACGTCATACGGAATCTAATGCATTGATTGTCCTTGTAAGCGCACGCAACATCTGAAAACTTGTAAGGGCATGAGATGGGGGGGGACGGGCGGAGAAGCTAAGCGGATCCGCCATAATGCGCTCGAATGCTTTGCTCGCTTTCCTGTGCGAGCTGATTGCGTGAGGATGGGAGCAGAAGGCAGCAATGAGAGCGGAAAGGGGGCGATGACTTGGGAGACCGGAGTATCAAGTGGAACTGGGGCAAGAATGGTGTTGCGCTGATGATGCGACATCGGGAAGATTATGGCACGCGCTCTCCAGAATGGGTGCTTGAGCTCCAATGAGAATGTATGGACAGAGACTGAGAATACAAGTGCGGAGGAACGAATGCATAGGTAGAGACACAGAGAGCTGCGCTACCGAATGACTTGCGCTGGGGAGTACGAAGCGCGCTTGGAGACGTCAGAGGGAGCGCAAGCTGCGTCCTTGGATGCTCGAGTAAGCGCCCGGCAGCAGCGAAGCGAACGAGTGCAGTCGGAGCTTGATTAGGCGATGAGGGGCCGTCTGCTGCCCGCGCTGGCGTTATCAGACTGATGGCGTGCCGCGTTGGCGAAACGTGGCGAAGTGGCCTCCATCTCGATGGGGTAATCCTTCCTTCGTGGGCTGTCGTATCCGGATCCAGCATAGGTGCGAGGTGAGTCAAAACCTCCCGACTCGCGGTAAGGCTTGGGTGAGTCGTACGGACGCGCATAGCCCGACTTGTAGCCTCCCAAGTTACCGTATGTGTATCCCTCATCGCCATTCGCGCCCTTTGGCTCGTAGCTGGCTGCTGCACCTGCTGCGAGCGCTTGTCTCCTCCTTGACCGCCGGCGGCAGCAGACGACGCAAAGTGCGATGATCGAGATGAGAGCAATGATGATGAATGCACCGCCGCCTGCTGCAATGCCGATGATCTGCTCCTTCGTGAGTACTTGATCGCTTCGGAACCCGTTTGTGGCCTTGAAGGTGGGCGCAGCACCAGTACTTCCATCAGTAGAGGTGGCACCACCTTCCGAAGATGTAGAAGCGAGAGCGTTGCATGCTTTGTCATCGACTGTCGTGTCAGAACCCAACGCCGATCCGAAGGCGACTACGATCGCTGATCCGTCTCTGATGTTCACCGAGACGACACCGTTATTGATCTGCACTTGCTGCACCGCTGGTCCGGATCTTGTGGGAGCGCCGTTGTTAGACTGCTCGTACGACATGCCATTCCAGGTAGTGCCCTTGGAGGAGTCCGTTCCCGATGCGATCAGCGTCGATACGTACGCAGTACCGGTGAAGCCGGGCACTTGGAAGTCGACGGCCAGAGACGGCTTGTTGCTGCTGGTGGACTGGGTGGTCTGCGAGTTGATGAGGACTATCGCATTCAGTTTGTTGTTCTGATATGATCCATAAGCGGTCAGACGATTGTTGTAGCTGGAGGGTCCCGACACATCAATGCTACCGATACGCGTGTTGCACTTGGCACCGATGATCTGCGCCATGGCGGCGTACGCGTAGTAGGATGAGCGCACGTGTGGAGCTATACCATTGATAGTAGTGGGTTGCCAAGGTGATCCGAGCGATACGTCGGTCAAATGCATCTGGACGGATGACATTTGTTGCGTCGCGGCGTACAAGAAGAAGTTGAAGGTCCACAACGTGTTTGCAAAAGTCTCGCTGATGCCAGGTAGACCGCCAGGGCCGACACTTCCCATTTCACGCAGGTAGTAAGGCTTGCCCGTCACCGCCGCTTGTTGAGCCTGTCTGGACCATTCGCTGAGCTGAGACCTGGTGGTACTGAAGTCCAGCAGCAAGTCCGCTGTGAGAGTGTAGGTGCTGACGTTGACGTAATAGTAATAGTCGTGCTGGTTCCACCCGGCGACGTAGATACCATTGCCGGTAGCGACTTCGGTATCAACCAAGTTGGAGATGCGGAATTGGTGCCCGTGGTCCGTTGCAGTGGTGGCGGTGGCAGCAGGCTCAAAGAAGTTGGAAGGCAAGTTGAGAGGCTTGAGTACTTCGTTGTAGATGGCAGCCGCACGTTGAGACCACTCGACTCCGTAATCGGCGGACGTCCAGGATTGAGGCCGGTACCCGTTGACGAAAAACAGGTCTGGCTCATTTCCTATTTCGAGTCCCACGATCTCAACGTTCTGAAGACTCGAAAATGTGATCTTGGCTTGCTCTACAATCCGATCGAAAGCGTCCGAACCCGTGTAGGCCAAATTCAGCCCATAGGTGATGGGTGTGCCTTTTGGCAGCATGTCCAAGGCTTTGTAGTAATTGGGACCATAATAGTACGCATCCGTGGCCACAACACCTTGCCCTGAGCTGTTTGGATTGTCTATCAGGGTATAGCTGTTGACATTTGCGTTGTAGAGCATGTTGTCGCCCGAATTGCCGCCTAGCCGAATATGCGAAGGCTTGCCCGTATAGTTTCCGAGATTGGCAAGGAGTTGGTAGGTCAACTCGTTGCGACTCGTCGTACCAGTGAATGAAAGAAGATTTGAGGGTTCGATGCCCATTCCTGCGTAAGACGGGGCCAAGACGACGGATAATGAGCCAGCATCTTGAGCATTGGTGGGTGCACTGATGGTGAGGTCGGCAGCAAAAGCCGTGGAAGCTAGTGCCAGAGCTGAGGCCAGCGCGGCTGCTGGTCGCAGTGGAGAGATCTGAGAGGGATGGAGATGCGCGAACAATGTCAGACTTTCGTCGGGCCTTCGGCGAACAAGGATGAGGCGCAAGATTGAGCGCGCGGGGTGGCGCGTCTTGCTGGCGTGAGGCGAATCAAGATAGATGACTTCGGAGAATTTCGATTGTCTGCTCCCGCTTCCGAACGCCTTGCACGCTGCCCATCCGATCCGCGTCTGTACACCGTCGCTGAGCTACTCACAATCATTGTGCGTGTATGCTGCCGTGATAGACCTGCTCGAATGGGCGAAGGACGGGAAGCCAGGTACAACTTGCAGAGCTGTAGGTTTTGTTGAGCATGCACCAGCTCTCGAGACTAGACTCCGGTCCTCGCGCTGACTAGACCCTGGATTTGAGGCAATGTCTGTGCCGATCACGAGGGAATGGAGTGGACTGAACAAAAAGAGCGAGCGCTCGTCGAGGCGAAATAATAGGTGACTATGCCGCCCTTCGAAGTCCAAAGGCACAGTGGTCCGGGTGTTCGAATCAGCAGGAGAAGTAAAGTTTCCGCGGGCTAGATGGCGGAGCTTACGAGATAGGACAGCCGTGCCGTCTGTGGACGGGAAGAAAAGGATTCGAGGTAGGTGTGAGGTGTTGACGGACGAGCGGATCCGAATGGAGCACAGTTGAGGGAATCGAAGAGATGAAAGGTGGGACGAGGATGCTTTAGGATCACGACTTTGCGCGCCAAGTGATCCCGGATCGCGATGTGCAATCACGAATACGCGGGCAGAGTCGTGACTGGGTATGTACGTACAGTAGGTAATCGTGAATGCGCGGCCGGGCTCAGTCATAATCCTCCGCTTTCGTGCCGTCAATGCGCTGTGCTGCACTGCTCTGCACGCATCGCATCGCATATGCACGGTATGCAATTCGCAATTCGTAATTTCCAGGCTTTGCTTCACGCGCTTGCCTAGCTGCAGCCGGTCCCCATTAAATTGTACGATGTTTTTCGTGACTGTGTACCGTATTGCTCCTGCCTTTCCTGTGGACCCTCGCGCGTGCAGTGTGGGGACGGGCAGCAGGTGTATGCATACCTGTCGAGCTACACCCATCTGCTATATTACATGACTGTAGCGTAACGATACTGCACGCACCGTCTAAACCTTCTTACAGTGTAGGAGTAGTAGAAGCAGTCAGGTCGCACGGCCGGGCCACGCATCGGTTATAATCACGAAGTGTCCTCAGCTTCTGAACGGACCAGTCCGTTCAGCTGCCGGGTATCCGTACACAACAGAGGAGTCGTCAGTCAGCAGTTCATGCGCGTCGATCACTTTTGGCCGGCAACGTGCATCGGAGGAAAGTCAGGCAAGGTGCTTGGCTGAACGACCGCTTGTTTCCGCGCGCATGCATGGGTTCATGCACCTGTGCTGCAGCGTCAGAGACGGGATGTCCTGCCGGTTGGACGCAGCCGTTGAGAGCACGCGCAGCAGCTAGCACACAAGACAATAACGAATAACGAACGACGTTCGTGATTCATCGTTCATGTTATCGATTCCTGATTCAACATTTGTGCTTCTCACTCCCTGACTGTTACGTCGACCGCGCCATCCATCGAAGCGTCGCCGCCCCATAGCCCAGGTGCAGGGGTCAGACCCCTCGCTGATGATCTTGGCTGCCCCTATAAGGCATTCTTAGATACAAAAATCTGGCCAGCGGCAAAGAATCTGCGCGGTGATTGTGTCGAGCGGTGACGCGGGAGGAGAGCGGAGCGGGCGTCTATGTATACGTGGCTGCATGATGGAGATGCCGATTTCCTGATTCTGTCAGGGCACCTGCGCCACAGTCTCACCTTGTGCTGCATGCTGTGTGCATGGGATCGAGCGACGCCGCCGTCTGCTGGATCGTGTACTGCTGCATGTACGCTCTCTGTGATGCTGCTCTGGTCGCTGCTGCTCCCTAGCTGCTCCATCGCGATTTGTGTCGTATGCGCCGCAGACGCATGCAGCTGATTCGTGGCAGCCGAGGGCTGCGACATGCCATCAGGTA